TTTGCGCTGCACACTTGATCAAGCACCGACTGCTATGTTCAAAGTGAATTTCATCGACAATCAGATGACCAAAATAGGTTAACTGCAGAAAATATTTGCTTCTAAATTTAACAAATCATCATCATAATGGTGACTCATAAATGAGATGGAATCTCGTATTCCGTTTTCCTTTATTTGAAGGTTCATTCACATTCACCCTTGTAGATGTTTCAGCGAGTCTTAAAGATTTGCATCCGAATAAACAATCATCACGCGTCAAATAGATGGATCGCTTTTGACTACTTTTAATTCTAAGGCGGTAAAACAATGCAAACGATAAAATCTACCTGTCTCGATTCGACTAACGGTAACTGTTGTAACCATAATACCGTGTCTAGGCATGACTTTAACAACTTCTTTCATCATGAAATGCTATTCGGTACACTTTAAAACCACGGAAAAATGGTTTCTTTAATACGAGGCACTAGAAGCTTGAAGTCCGCTTCCTAGTGAAACACGCCAGCTTCTCACATCAAATGAATGCACTTACTCTAAAAGGCCTTACTAGATATTTTACATTTAGTCGTTCTAATGATACTTTGAAATCCTGCTGTGTCATTACCAGTGCAGGGGGATCATACACTTTTGCAAAAATACTATTTTTATATCTCATTTTACGCATTTTCGTCTGGGTGCATGTCTATCGGCAAATGACAAGTGAAACGGACCTCAACACGCGACTCGATGAGGGGAGAAGCAAGTTAAAAAGGGTGTGGGAGGTGATCAGTTTGGATTGTGGAGGAAGGGGGAGGGGCAATTCTCTCCCCGTCGCCTCTGTCCCCCACGATCGCGTGACTAGAGCAATTGGGAGTGGACAAAGTGGACGCCTGGCCACTAAACCCCGGCGCCTAGCTGATTGCATCTGCATGTGTTTGGGGCATGTGAAGTGCTGCAGCTACCCCCTTCTCATGCTGGCTGTCGTCTTCCGTCATTTGTCCTCATGGTAGCGTTATCCATCGAGCATGATCAACCACCGGAAAATTATTGCCATGTAGTAATTAAGTAACAGGGATTCTTGCAGTCTATCGTAATTCGGCTGCCATGGCTATGCTAAAACGCACTGCTTACGGCAACTGTCTATAACGAAAAATACTTCCAGACCTGCTCCTAAAGGACACCAAAGGAGGGCACTTACTGGAAAGGCCTGAGTTTGTAGATACTCGTAGCATGAAAGTACCAGAATTGCATCTACTTTTGGCTGCTAAGTCTCCAGCTCTGTTATGAGGGCAGATACTGGTTGAACAGTAGATTTCAGCGAATTTAAAACCTCCATTAATGTAATTTTAGCAATATTTACGTTAAACGGTTGAATATTGAGCATCATCCAATGATTGTAAACGCCTCCATATCGTAAGTTTTGAGCAACCCAGTCGACTAAACAGCATTGAAATGGCCATAAAGTAGAAAGGGTAAATAGATAGGGGACGGCGCTCTTGAAGGTAAATTTTCCTATGAAGAGTAAACATACCAAATGCATCAACTGGAACACATTGTTCAGTTATCAGCAGGACGTAGCAAATTTAGCTTACAGCTATGACTTCTGCTGAAGGAATTTTTGTGGTAGGTGGTATGGTTTGAGTGATATCTGGACTGAGATCAATGTGAACAAGGTATATGGTTTGAAATTAGTTGTGGTGATGGCATTGCGGCTTTATATTACATGAAGCCGTCTACAAAAGCTGTATGAAGATGTGAAGGAAGTGAACACGCGATACCTCCTCCACCTCTCCACTGACTAGGTAAAATGTAGATACACATGACTGAGCAGCGCTGAAATGAGAACAAGGTAACGAGGAGGAATAGGCGTGAAAATTTGTTCCTGAAATGCTCCAGACTAAAAATACTTCCTTTATTACCTTGAATTTAACATTTACGACCACGATAATTCCATGTTTTTCTACTTTAATTAAATCTGCATCCTTGAAATGGCATGAATGGCTTCTGTACGGCTTGATTTCCAGTGGGCACAAATTATATGCTTAGGCATTTATCGCCACGAAATCACTCACAATGAGTTTAAAATCAACACTCATCACCGCCTTGATCCAGGTAGCCACTGCCCAAAAATGTAGCCAGGATCCACTTTTGCACTTAATAATTTGAATCTTTGTTTAACCCTTCGTTTTGGCATAGTGGGACCTAAGCCTCCGCCTGTATACTTCCGCTGGGCAGCGAAGCCTCCCAGCCATGTCAGTAGCACTCACGGCCATTCTCTACGTCAGTGATACAAATTTCACCCAGGTATTACGTCTCCTTGCGTCTTCAGGAAAGACTTAAGGTGCTACATTGGTGGCAGTGGAAAGTGAACCCGATCTTGAAGGTCAACTACCCTAATTTCTCCTACTAAATGCTAAACCCTAACGTGGTGGAGGAAGTGCAAATGCTACAGATGGGAGAAGCTGTGACGATCCCAATGCAAGGATTGGAAGTGACATCTACCTTCGGCAACTATCCCAGTAGTCACGTGTTCTGCCAGTGTTATGAACAACTAATGCGATGCTAACCGCAAACCATCTGGAAGAGCTCGCTACGGAGCTGTCTACAATGGCTATATGAAGATGTAAAGGAAGAGAACACGAGATACCTCCTCCACCTCCACCTCTACGATACTATTTTAAACCCAGTTGCGTGTTCAGTGACTCTGCGTTGAGACCAGTGTTCTTACGACTGGCGATGGACATACGAGATGGTTAGCACATTTGCCCTTCCCACAATACATCTCTCAAAGAGGATGAAACTGCAGATGCAGTGAAATAACCGAGGTGGAACATTGACGTTGCGGTCAGATATCTGTTTAGTGGGAGGGAAAGTAGTTGACTGGTGTGGATGGTTGGTTCGTGGATGCTGTTCTTACAGCACCGACTACGTTGTGATAGCCGACGCGGGGGGATTGACCAAGGGGAACGTTGGGGTCGGCGCTCAAAGTGGGAGGGGTGCTATGTAATACTTTAGCTATTTGTTTAACTCTTAATTTTGGTTTTGTGGGTACTTAAAGCTCCGCCTTTGTATTACTGCTAAGTTGCATGGCCAATGGGCCATGCTAGTACTCCCCCAGCCCTTCTCTGCTTTAGTAATACATATTCTGCATTTGTAGCATGTCTTTCTTCGACTTTAGGGAAGCATATGGATGCTACAGCACCTACTAACTTGCAGGCATTTGGAATCTTTGAGGGCAAAGCCAAAATATAGCGGCCACAAGATTCACCTCGTGTAGTACTTTAAAATAATTAAATCTATTAGTTAATAAATTACTTGCGAGTGAGATGTGTACTTTTTGTCACTAAACCACATGGTTTCTGATGTATTTCTGGTTCATTTCTCGTCTACTTTACTTACTCACGGAAGTCGGTTCAATTAGTGAATCAGTCTCATGTTTCTGCTTCTGACTTCACAAGAATGATTTTGTCCTTTTTTATTCTTTTCTACAATTCAATTTTGTGCATTGTGAAGTATTGTTGGTTTTGCAAAAAAATTTACATATCATAAAAAACTAACAAACGCTCCTTCCAGAAAAGCATCATTTTGTGCGGTTTACTATGAATGCCTTTGCATTTGAAACTATCAAAAGTAGGCAAATTTGCATATTTTAACATTACCATTGAGTAGTGTATTTGCAATTTTAATGGCAAATATGTTATGGAACATGCTAATGGTATCCAAAATCATTAGTGCATGGGAATCCACCTTTAGGACTAATACATTTATCAATAACAGAAGCTGTATTTAAAACTGCTGGAACCTGAAGAAGACAGGCGACTGGTGGTGGTTTTACTCAACAAATCACATGCCTGTTTCTACCAATACGGAAAGGGAACGGGGTAGTGTTAATGACTGAATCATTGCTGCGATTTTTCATGGTAATGCATAAAATACTTTGATCTTATCTTTACGCATGAGACAGTGATATCTTTATCATGCTTCCGTCTAAAAATGTACAACTTTTACTAATCGAACAATACCAAAACGTTTATAAGTATTACAAATTGCCAATCATTCAAAAGCAAACTATCACGTAGCATCTAAATAAACTGTTTATGAGATCTTTTAGCTATTTTCGCAAGCAACATAGTAAATACGTCAGAAACCCTCCTAAGTCATTAAAAAATGTGTTAAAATGGAGTTCAAAGGGAAAGCAACAGATATTACATTTAATTACCCAGATTTATTTTCACTAACATTTTTATTGAAATGGAAATTGTGAATTGAAAGGCCAAAAAACCAAAAAATACCCTGTACTTTGCAAGCCGACTGATCCCTTTCGCTTTGAGTACTGCCTTGTGGCCGCCCACACCGAATTCCTTCGCATGAGTCATTAGAAAGGGATCCAATAAATCGATAGATGGATGCCTCAACCGCGTACGCAAAGTCCAAACTGAGGCCCAAATTGGTGTTTTTTGGTTGGGATTCGTGCTACTTTATGACTGTTGCACATTCAAAATGATCTGCGGTTCAGTTCACTCTGGCAAAACTGGCACCTTAAAAATACGTTAGTATCGGGTGACCGAAAGAGTTTGTACGGTTTTGGGTGTAGCCTGCTGCGGCGACACCAGCAAAAAATCCGTGCAATAATTGATGCGCTTGTTTCATAAACCTTACATATGGTGGATCAAGCTGTCGGTATGGCATCTAGTGTTGCGCTCCCTGTAGGCTTTATCTTTTTTTGAATCCACTATCATAGGATAAAGTGTCGGTCAAACCTTATGCTTGTGACTGGAGCTTATCCACTCAACCGACTGAGCATCATTTTAGTTCAAAATCTCTGGAAGCTAATTTCTTGTCAAATTTGTTACAAGGACATACTGAGAAGGTATGGCATACGGTATAGGACAGCATACAATAGCCTACACAGTTCGGCAAAATTAAACGGTTTATTTGATCTAGATTTATCGTTTTGATCAGCAGCGTCTTTCCTTGGCCGTGAGGAATTACATATCACTACTGATACACAAAAGTAATTGGAGGTGAAGGTATAAATACCAACCTTCGGTGGTGCTTGACGTCGCGCGGGGTGGTGAAACTTCTAGTCGACTCTTGCATTGAGTGGGAAGGGGAGGTGACGGAAGTAACGGAGGAAATGGGTTATACTAGCATGCATGATTAAATAAAGAGTTAAGGGGCAAATAAGCGCTAAAGGCCATAACAATGTCCTCTACTTATCCTTCACTTCTTCAGTTCACACGGTTAGGATTGCGGCGTCAGGAGAGGCTTGTTGACTGATTGACTAACCTCAGATTAGACTAATGACCTTTATATTGGAGCATTCTTTAAATGCGAACAAACAACTCATTCACTGCCTGTTTCACTCTCCTAGGCCGAGCAAAGTCTTCATTCTCGAAGGGCTCAGGCGCGTGGTAGACCGTTGATGCAATTGTCTACTTGTTGAGGACCAAATAACATTTGCAACCGAAATCTATCCACTTGACACAACTCGCGAATACGTCAAAAAGCTTCCTCTCTCCTCCATCTTCTCATTTCTTTTCAGCATCTTCGTTTTTATTTTCAGAAACAGCTAGGACTAGTGATTTAGTGAAAAGAAAGACCTATTCTTATTCTTACTGGGCAGTATGAGGCAAGAGAACACAACGTCAGACCCCATATCACAAACGGAAAAGCTGAGCATTGAGAAGATTCACAATTTTTTTCTCATGGTGTCGCTCCACATGTTGATCTTCTATCCGCCTTGGTAACAGCATTGGGCAATCGTGGGATTACGGGATCACCTGTGGAATGGCATTTACAGTTGGGTGGGAAATGAAAACGAGACTTAGACGGAGGTGGTTGGGGGCTAGGTTGTTGCTTTGGATTCCAGTAATGAGGGGCTATTTGCAAGTCTTGCTAGAACAGGCTAATATATTCGACGAATATTATTATTCTAATTAATAAAACCTTTAGAAAAGTTTCCTTCAGTCAAGCAACTTCTTCTATTATAAAATAACCACACAAACTTATTTGGTGAAAGTGGTTTTGGGTATAATTTGATCAGGTTAAATTGAAATAGGCCGAGGCAACGCGCACTTTAGTCTCGCATGCAAGTGACAACAAACGTTTTCCCTCTTCACCTGTTCATACGCGTTCTCCACATGTGCCACACTGACACACACGCTAACGCCATAGACCCCTCCCCTACACACGTAACCCCCATCACCTTTCCAAGCTGCTCGTTCTATCAGGCGCCGAGTATCATCTCTAGCATCACCATTTTGCGTGCTGAGGAGAAGGGTGGAGGTGAGCTTTATTGTGTGTGATGCGTGTGAGTACTTTCAATCACTTTCCCACTGCCCTGACCCCTACCTCCCATCCACCTTGGCTTCGCTGTTGCCCCTCGTTAAGTAAACTGATGCTCGTTTGTGGTGTGGCGAATACACACTCACACCCCGCCGCTTCTATCATCTCCCAGTGATCTGTGAATGGGAGCAGAGTGGCGTGGTGTGGTGAGGTGAGGTGAGGAGGGAATTGGAGAGAGCAGCAGCAGCAGCAGGAGACGTAGCTAACACGCACACACATCAAGATTAGTGGCACGCAAGCTCTTCTGTTCAGCGTCGCCTTAATCCGCACCTCACCTCACCCCACACGCGTACGAGTTGGTAGTTGACTTTCGTACTTTCAGTGAACAGTGGCCTGTTGTTGCTGCTGCTGCTGCTGCTGCTTCTGTGGTCCTGTGTCAGTGGTGTGTGTATGCGTGCACGCAAGATCAGATTTCACGTCAAATTATAAATGGGGCAAGAGAGAGGGGAGAGCGAAAAATGCGAGATACGTTTATTATTATTACTGTTCTAATGATTATAGTTGTAATTTTTATTAGTAGGTTAAAAATGAGGATTTAGTGCCACTAAAAGGCATGTGGGCTTGACTCCTCTCTACACAATCGCTTTTTGTACCTGACAGAATTCAGGGGATGCACCAAGTCACCTTTAGAAAAACCTTCTACTATTTAACAGCACCAAATTAAGGGTGACTTACAGGAAAAGCATGCATATTTAGAAAATTTGGCTTTCTAACATACTTTGACAACCACCAGAGCCTTCTCTAAAATTGTGATAAGCCACAGCAGTATGGAAGAAGACGGATGATTAACCTGCGGAATTGGTGGGTGGCTGATCGGGGTAACCGAAGGGTCACTTGGCCGAGAAGGAGTTCAGCCTGCGGAAAAAACATCGTAGGGTTAAAGATGCGGCTAGACAAAGAAGACATTACTCCATAGGGATAGACCGGTTCATTATTTTGAGTAATACTACTGATAGCAATCTATTAAAGTGATTTGAATGCCTTTTAGGGATTATTTATAAGGAACCATTGTAAATCAGGACGATTTACGGGAATGCGTAAAGGTTTTGTCTTGCGCATTCAGTATTTATGCCTAATTTTGTGGCTGAGAGTTTAAAATTAGATAACTATTGGCATGTTTTGACACCTTTCCAAGCGCTTATTTTACTTTCTCCTACAAGTAAGGTTGTATAGACGACATTTACATTTTAACTTTTTGCATTAAATTACAAACAGTAAGCATTAAATAGTCGCAACTGTCACTTGGATGCATGACAAGCGATTTGACTGATCGCCCCTATCGATAGTAGTAATAGGCGGTAGATCACTTATAAGATCGGACCCGTCGTCTGGTGTCACCGGACCTTGACATTATAAATTACTTCACAAAAGAAGTTGAGGGTACGTCATTGATCATGACAGTGGCACCACAGAAATGACACAATGCACTGTGGTAAACCAAGGCGCCCCTTTTTACATTAGCTGGTGGGATCGCTGAAGAGGAATAAGCTGTTTGCTTGTGTAAAACCCGGTTTCACAGCAGTGAGACCATGTGTGCGCTTTTTGTGTGGGTGCGAGGAGAAGGCCAGTGGAGCCTAATTGCTAGTGGGCTGATTTTGGAAGGCGATAAGGTGGGAGAGGCACCTTGAGCCTTGATGGGCGAACGGAGGGGAAGGAGAGAAAGGGAAGACATTGCGTGTTTTGGCAAAACGGACACCCACAGTGAAAAATCTTTCTCCTTCCACCTCCACCCTTACTTCTGACTGCGTCCATCTTACAACGGTATACACGTGGCTCGTTGTGTAGGCGGGTGTGTCCTGCATTGCGCTATTAGGTCAAATTGGCCAAGAAACCATCATTCGCCCTAGATTGCTTTAAAAGAGCGTCTTGATGGCCGGCGCATTCATACGCTACATCGTTAATAAATTTTCTTATTTAATTCTTACTTTCAATAAATCATCTTACCTTTAACTGTCCATCCTGCATCCACCCTGTATCCATCCATCCATCCATCCATCCACTCAAGAAGGCCCTGTCTTAAGAAGACGGTCCAAATGGACATTGCAATATGATGCAACATAGCTAGAGACCGAAGTATAGGTGAAAATAGTGAAGGAGATTATAAAAGGATGCCAAAACGATTTCACGCACAGTTCTTTTTTCTTTAATAAAACCACAAAGTGAAGTCCAAATGTTTGTTTACACTGAAGCACAAATGTTAATGGAACTGCTGCAGCAGTTAGTAAAACAAGGCAAAAATTCCTTCAGCTTCTCGACCAATTTGTGTGCTTGATTACGTCTAATTTTGAGTACCTTCATTGTCTCAAAGTAAAAAATCAAATGTAAACGCGTAATTAACTCATAAAAGGAGAAAAAAATCCGGCCAAGTTAGCAGCAGAGCTATTTAAGTCTCTGGTTATTGAAAATGCATGACCCACGTATTACCGGGTCATCGCTAGAGGCGACAAATCACGGTTTCTATTTGAGAACCAGTTGTGCTACTCTGACTCTGGAAACATGCTCTGCCCTAATGATACCCCCTCGAAACATATTATCATCACATTACCGATTCACGACTGTTTACCCTTTCACCATGGTTGCCTCACTTGTTTTTGAAATCTCACTTATCACCTCCAAAAGCATTATTAGCAAGTAAACCCAAATATTTTAAAGTCCATAAGACTTATAGGATAGTCTCTGAAAGATATTTCATCCGCTTTACCAAAATTTGAATAAACACCTAATTTTTTTTCTCACGCCCTGACTCCACAAACCTGGTACATAATTGGGCAGAAATCAACCGCTCACTGCGTCTCCTCCTCCCGAGGTGCAATTTTGTGCGAATACAATCGTCTCGTTTTATCTGGTGAGCATCTGCACCAGGTTGTGGGTGCTTCTTTTGTGAGGAGGCTAAGTAATTACCTGTTTGCGTGTCCACAAAACTGCTAATCAAGATGTCGAGTTTGTACTTCGGGTCCGACTGCCCGCCCCCCCCCCTTTACTTCCTCCATGATAGCCGCGAGCTTCATGAGTGTGTTTGGGTGTGGATGTGGATGTGGTTGAGAGGATGAAGACCTGATTTTGCCACACGATAAGAATGCCGCAGTTTGCGTGTCACCTTCACACCCCTGTTCCACGTATACACATGAGGGGGAGGAAGAGGCGCATAGTACACCTATGAGGTTTTTGTTTACATTGTATAGTTGATTGCACTAACTCCTTAGCCTCCCGGACATCAGTCATCACTTTAGCGGCATGGTAACAGTCCACTAGTTCTTCGGTTCGTGTCTTATTACGACTGCAGGGGTGACTCCAAGAGCCACTAATTTGCATTCTATTCAGACATCCAAGGACCGAGTTGGCTTGTGAGTCCACAAACCATCGGAAGAGCTAAAAGGTTAGGGGAATGGCGGCGTTGTCGGTGTAACGATACGCAAACACTAGAATACTGCTAAACTGCAACAGAATGAGGTTTGTTTCTACCCGGGTCCAACTAGCTCCCAGCCCTGGTGGCATCACGTCGAAGGAGACAATTAAGTGTGATTTTCATGATTTTCCTCTGATATTTTATGGTATGACTCGACTTGACACATTCATTGATAAGACTACTACTACTACTGCTGCTGCTGCTGCTACTACTACTACTACTCTTTTAATGTCACTTTAGTTCAATAATAGTTTTGCTGCTGCATATAGAGATACAAAGAAATCAACGGGTACTCCCTCACCATTTGGACTCTTTTTGATAGTGAAAAAAGAGGAGCCGGACATTCAGCTTACTGTGTAACGGCTGTACTAAAGCCATCTATTTTATGGTCTTCTTATGCTTTTCTATCCTCCGAAGTAATGCCATGAGTGAACACAGCAACCCCTTTTTTTCAGGAGTCCCTGTGTTACTGTTACTTTGCCTAAACAATGAAAAAAAATAAAAAGGTTAAAATACTCTAACCCGCGCCTTAAACTTAACAGCCTGAGATAATCTTTTGCACAAGCATAACTTTAAAGCCGAGTCTTTTTAGGGAGAAGTTACACAAAACCTTGCGGTACCTTCCTTAAGCTTGGCAACTACCGCTACCAGTGTATACCTTTGATTCGTCATTTGCATTTTAAAGTTATATTTTGCTGCATAATTAATGTGGCAATTATAAATTCCAAGATGTAGACTTGTTTAATGTGACTGATCTGGTTTAATAATTAAGTATAAATAAACACTCTACTCAGGCTATACTCTAGCGTGATATTTTCGGAAAACAAATTATTGGTTCTACATTTACTAAACTTAGATACTAGTGACTGGCTTTAAGGAGCGGTGTAATTTTTAGTGGCATCTCTCAAACATTAGATTACGAAAACCGTCTTTTAAATCCAAAAAAACTCATTTTCATGTTTGTATTGCAATGGACAGGCAAGTCCAGTGATCAGTAAGGGCCGAGCGTACGCCTTCAAGCCTTGCATGAACCCAAATGCGAAACAAGGGCCAGTTCATGTTCGAGTACTGTGACACCTTTTCTTAAACAGTTAAAGGGGGTTGGGAATAATGGAGAGGCAATCGCAATTACCCCAATCGACCAATTAGAGCATGCGGTGAAGCGAAGGGGCCGTCACGCAGCATCGCCATTGGTTCAAGCTGCGTGCGTGTTAGTCTGCACGTCTGCGTACAAGTTCGCCAACAGGCGTGTTTAGCCAATGGCCTAGTTCCCCTCTTCCTTCTCCTCCTCCCCACACATTAAAAATCCCCGTATTTTAATTAGATTCTCAGCAGAGGTGGAAACATTACTGCGAATCTCAATTGCCAGGGGGAGCAACAGGTTGTCGTAAGTTAATAAAGTTCATAAACATTGTGCTGTATTTTAAAATTAATTGAGTTCAATACGTAAATCTACCTGACTACTGTAGGAATAATATATAATATTAAATGATTTGGTATTGAATACTTTACCTTATAAGAATCGTCCTTTATCCTCGGAAAACCGCGGGCGTTAGTTCTCACTATGGTTGGCTTTTACCAATGAAAGGCCTCAGATAACCGCGAAAGTCGGTGCAGTTTTCAGTCTACATCGATGCAATGACGTGCTACATGTGGCAAATTATATAATGCCCACGATTGTCTAAATTCATAGCGTAAAAAATCACGGA